GACCGTTTAGTTGGAAGATAAGATGGACATTTGGTCACCTGGGTGGCTCAGTTGGTTAAACATCCGACTTTGGCTCAGGTCATGATCTCATGGTTTGTGGGTTCGAGCCACGCGTCGGGCTCTGTGCTGACAGCTAGCTCAGAGCCTGGTGCCTGCTTCAGATTCTGTATCTCCCTCTCTCTGTGACCCTCCCCTGCTCATGTTGCCTCTCTCTCTCTTTCTCTCTCTCTCAGAAATAAAACATTAAAAAAAAAAGATGGACACACCCTTGGCAACCTTGCACAGAGGTGAAACTTGATCTGAGTCTTGAGAAATGAGTCAACTTTAACTGAAGGAGAGCAGTTCAAAGCAAGGGGAACAATTTCACCTAATAGGGGAGAAAAATAATATATCTCAGGAACAACGAGAAAATCCAGCACGGATTGCTTCTGGCAAGTGGTGAGAAATAAGACTGGATGGGCAAAAAAAAAAAAAAAAAAAAAATAGTGGAGAATATTTGGCCTCAGGTAGTGGAGTTTATCTTGATTTGGGAGATGCCAGAGAGATCATATATTTTCTGGTCGTAAGAGTGTTGTGAAAACATCAGTGTTCACATGGCAGTCTAGCGAATAAATTAGAAGCAGGAGACAAAACCTGACATCTACTCAGATCTGGTTGAGAGAATGATGATCATGGTGTCTAAGTTTGGCTGAGATACCGTGAAGGAATATTTCATAGAGCCTGATGACTAGGCTGGTTGATGATCTTACCAAAATCTGTTTTTAAGAAAAATAAAGTGTAGCTTTCAGTTCTGAGCTTGAGCTTTCAGCCTTTCTCTTCCTTTCCATCTCAGTAGATGACCATTGCTTTTGCTCCTTCAACCTTCCTTGCCCAGAGAAACCCTTCGTAAATGTTTGCCAAAGAAAAAAAAAACAAACAAATCAATGAAATAGCTTTCAAATATACACTCCTACAAAAAATATCTGCCTACAAAAATGTCATAATACAATGCAAGATTTAATCTTGCTTTCCCCTTTATTTAAACTGTTACTCTCATTCTGAATATTCGCCCCTTCACCCATTATTAAATCTACTCATTCTTTAAATCTCATAAAAAATGCCCTTTTACTTTGCTCCTTGATTGTTTCCAGCTAAATGTGTTTGCATTTCCCCTTTGGTAATGAGTCACCAGTCATAACCCACCTTGTGTGTGTTTTTTTTTTTTAATTTTGTGTTTACATTTATTTATTTTTGAGATACAGAAAGCAAGCAGTGTAGGGGTAGAGAGATAAGGCGACACAGATTCCAAAGCAGGCTCCAGGCTCCGTGCAAGCTGTCAGCATAGAGCCTGACATGGGGCTCAAACCCATAAACTGTGAGATCATGACCTGAGCCAAAGTTGAACGCTCAACTGACTGAGCCACCCAGGTGTGCCAGCACATCTTATATTTGAAGTTTTGTACATTATCACGTGAGATGTTTAATGAGTACCTCTCGGAGAACAAGCTGTATGTCTTACATGTCTTTATATTTATTAATCTATGGTGTAGAGTAGTGTTCTGCATACAGTAGGTGATGTATAATCTGCTGTTGTCACAATGAATTATTTATTCGGTGGTATCGTCCTAGTTTAGCCACGTGGCATTTCTTGTCTGGGCTATTAGTACTGTCTCTTAGCTCATCTCCCTGCCCCTGATTCATCTTCCAAATTGACACCTAAGTTATTTTCATTTATTTTAATTGAGATGGATATTTATTGCCTCAGGATAAAATCCCAACCTTTAATATTCAAAACCCTCCATCACCTGGTCCCAAGCTATTTTTCTCCACCCTTCCTGGGCCCTATCCTCCACAGAGTGTGGTCTGGTCATGATGGATCATGGGCCTCAGTGGTTAAAATCAGGCCTTTGTTTAATCCTATCACTTTAGGCTACAATGTACTTCTTACCTTGCAGGTGATTCCTTTTTTTTTTTCTATCCTTCAGGTCACAGGAGAAGCTCTTTTGGTCTGTTATTGTTACTTCAGGCAACTCCAAGCTACTCCTTAGCTAGAATGCCAAAAACAAGATAAATTTCATCTCCTTGCCATTGACAACAATATAGAAACCTGTTTTCCAAAGTTGTCAAAAGGCATCTAAGCCAGCGCATAGTAATCTCCATATAGGTCACAGCTCACTGTTTATTAGTGGCCATGTTCTCTGTAAAGTCAGATTACCTCCTTTTTTATCTGAGATTTTTGGGATGACACAAGAAAACAAAGTTAGAAATAGGGTAGTGCCTGGTATAGGATGGGGCTTTCCTGGTACAAATCCACAATGCATCTCCTTCCATTGTAAGAGACTCACTCACTGCCAGCACTGATCAAACATTGTGGTAAAACAAACAACCCCCTTCCCAAAGCCCCGTTTTCTATGAAATTTTGAGTGAATGCTTTAAGCCATCCCATTGAAACTCATGTATTGCCTCCCTGTGCTCACATGACAGATAACACACAATTTCTTCTATTTTTTTTTCATGAAATTGCTGTGGTTTGAAATGCTCCTGAGGTTAAAATATATGAAAACATGAAATACTATCAAAATAAATAGCCCATGGCTCCAAAATGTATGAACTCTGAGAAACTGGAACATTAAGTAATATTTATTTGTGGAGGTATGTGACTTCAATCTTAAATCTATTTCTGTTTGTTCCACACTAGAGAACATTGGAAAATACCACCTGAAAAAAGCCTGTGCTTTTAGCAGCCTTGAAAAAGTCAAAACTCTTATTTTTTGATACTATAATCCGACTTCCCCTTCAATTAGAGACCAAAAATTACAGAGAACATGCTGAATAAGAGGTGATTATTTTTTGCCAAAAGAAAAACCCTGCAGGTGTTTTCAGACATTTGAGCCAATGGGCCTTTTAAAATCTTGTATTTATTTCCTTGTGCATTGGTAGATACTTCTTGTTTTACCAAAATTTGCTTACAAGACCTTTGAATACTCCTTCATTTATTCAATAATGATTTCTGCCGCTTGCCTGTGTGCCAGGCAAGTGCTAGGTGTTGGGATTCAGCAACAAGCAGAAAAAGACACGACCCTCAAATTGGGCCACAATCTGGGAGGGAAGTCAGAGAATTATCAAATAATCATACAAATTAATGAGAACTTTATTAAACGCTCCTAAGTAGAAAATCTGGTGCTGGGAGAATGTTTAAACAGGGACCTGACCTCAGTAAGGAGGTCAGGGAGGGTTCCCCTGGGGAAGTGACAATTGCACTGATCCTACAAATGATAAATAAGAGCTAAAATTGCATTCCATGCGGAGGGACTATTACGTGCAAAGGCCCTGTGGGACCAGGGGTGAGGCACCTACAAGGGAACGGAAGTAGGCTGGTATAGCCAGCACAGAGAGCTGGGGAAACATGGTGAAGATAAACTTGGAGTGGAAGAAGGGGTCAAGCCATGCAGGTGTTAGGCCATATTAGGGATACTGCCTTTAATCCTAATTGTTTGGAAGACCTGTCAAGGGTTTATAAGCAAGAAGAGACAAGATCAGGCTTATGTTTTGAAAAAATTCCCAGAGTTAAAAAGCAGGGGACATATGGGGGTAGGGGTAAGAATGAGGGGGTTGAGACCATTACAGTCGTTTAGGCATCAGGTGTTGACCTCTTTGATCAGGGTGGCCATGGAAAACAGGCTAGAACTATATTTGAGGTAAAATAAATAGGACTTGGTGACAAATTGAATATATGGCATGACTCCTGAGTTTCTCTGTTGGCTAAAACCTTTCCAAATAAAGGCTTGTGCAGACTTGACATATGTTTTCACTTAAGAAATGTCTCTTTCAGTGAGCCTTCAGATTCATTTATTCAACCACTACTTGCAGAGCACCTATTATGTATTATCCTGGCTGCTGGTGACGAAGGAGTGGACAAGGCAGTCTTTCATAGAGCTAATGACTGTTGGTACCAGAAACTTTGTCTAAAATGAAAATTAGTGCAAGTGCCATGAAAACCATATTTAAACTATGGATGGGGGGTGTCAAGTTTTCTTTTGGCAAATCAGAATGCTTTTTCAAGTGCCTTATAGTTTCTAATGGCCCTTACTATCTCACAGGCAGTGGGAAAGGCAGGAAGGTATAAATTGAGGAACGAGGGAAAATGAGGACTCCCAAGGTCATGAAGCTATGAGAAATTCCTTCAGCTCAGGTTTTACAAATCTAAGATGAGGGCTCTCACACCACTCCAAATTAAGACTGTGACCAAGGAGGTTGGAAGAGAAGCCTACAGGAGAATATTCCTTTTTAAAATAACCATTTGATTAAGAAACAAAAGTGCTTGCCTTCCTCATTAGCAAGGTAACCTAACCAGATTCTTTACTGGCCCCTGAAGCCAGGTGAATCAGGAAGGTCCTGATTTCGTATTGATTGTGGTAGTGAACAATTGCAGGTATGCATCTTGGAAGTTCATGCCAGTACCCTGTGGGGGTACTCAGAACAAAGGAAAATACACAAGGCAGGCATATATTCACCTTTAGCTTTTTTTTTCTTTTTCATTTTAGAAGCTGAGTTATGAGAATGATTCTGGTATTTTGTCTCCATTACATTATTTTACTCTTGATACTTAGCTGGCCTTTACTAGGCACCCATGAAGGGCTTTAAGGTCAATGTTCTTTTGTTTTTGTTAGCAAGAAGCTTAATTTTTTTTACAAGATCATATTAGAAAGTTTGATCCCAGGTGGTTCTAAGGAGGTGGTCTGACTTTTCTTGGTCCACAGAATGTTTATGTTTAAAAAAGAGATAATTGCAGGGAAGACATACTCCAATCACTTCTCATTTTTGAGCACTGTCAATTCTGATTGAACAGGCACATCACTTATGATCTCTCTTCTCTACTGGAAAGAAGTGTCCTTTGTATCTGCCATATTTCCAACTTAATCCCCCCCCCCCAGACTCCTACCTCTGAGCCAAATATTCAATGACATTAATTATCAAAATAAATTTATTAAAAGTATTCAAAGACCACATCAAAGTTTAGCTGCCTTCAGGACAATTTTTGGCACTCATAATGGACAATGGAGTTTTCTACACAACAACACTCGTTCTATTAACACACACCATTTAACAATTCAAACATAGACCATTTCAGTTTTAGTGTTACAGGAGATAACAGTACTGATGATCTGTAGTCGTAAGAACTTCAACACCCTTACACACAGTAAACATTTTAATATTACTTACTGCTAAATAACTAAAACTAAAACCACTATGTGGTAACATGGACTGAGTTAGGGAAAGATATACAGCCAGCTAGCTAAGGCCACATAATCCCAGACCTATTGATTTTAAATGCTCCTGGACCAACAGTATCACATCATCCCTTTTATGAGAACTTTTAGTCTCACGTTCCTCCATTTCCAGTGTGAGACACACCACATTTGGACCACTTTCTCCCTGCATTCTTGACACGGCTATGGAAGCTGAACCAATACAAGCTTCTCCTAGACAGTTACCAGCTTCCTGATTCACTATCTAACTCTGAATCAATAGTTCTGAGTGATGTTTCCTGAACACCCAGGCTAAATTCAAGGTCAGTCATTTGGGCAGGTCAGCCTTTCCCCTTAGGAAAAAAATGAAACGTCCTCCACTTTTGGGCTCCCTTCTCCAGCTCATGTAGCATGGGGCTCTGTGGTGATCTGTGGCTTTTTACACAAGTCCTGGTAGAATTCTGACTCCAAGAAACGAGGATAAGAGTTGTTCTCCATCAAGCTGTAGACCCTTTTCTGGGCAGTTGTAAAGCAGCCACTTGTAGCCTCTTGTATATTTTGGGCAATCAGACTTTTGGTTTGAAAGTCTATGTTTATCTGAAATAAAAAAAAATGGTTTAATCCATATTCAGAGTTATAGATTGATGCTGATTTAATATTTGAAAACAAAAAGGAGAAGCTATAATGTGTGATTAGCCTCACTAGCCACGTCATTGAAGAAATAAAATTCACCTAATTGAAAACAAGAATTAAGTGAAAAACATTTTTAATCCTCCTACTCCTTAATTAAATTTGATATCTTCTGTTTCATTTTGGTGCAAAGAATGTTCAAAATACACTGAAACGAAGTCATTTCTCCCCTTACCTCTTTTGGGGCTTCTTTTTCTATGAAATCAGTATATATTTTCCTTGCTTTTGAGGACAGCTTTTGGGGTGACTTGGTTTTTTTGAAGTCTTCACAGGCCAGCCAGAATTCAATATTTTCTTCACAAAATTCAGATTTTAAAAAAGCCCTGAATGCAGCAAGACCATCTGTCGGGGGAGAGGGGGGAGCAGGCAGAATGTGAATTGAGTGACCAATTAATCCCTTATATTTTGTTTCCCAGAACTACCATTCCCCCACCCCTATATATTTTTTTATTATTTCTGGATGATAGCAATTTTCTAGATTTCATTCCAGCCTCTAATCTTCAGAATTTAGGTCTTTAAAGGCTAAAATGCTAGTAGGCAAAAATGCTTAAGTTGGCACCCTGCTACAAGAATATAAATAACTTTGCTGTTAATGTAAATATTTATAGGGGAGCCGTAAACTCTCTGGGAACTAAACCTCCTGGTAACATTGCTTGCAATGGAAAAGCTGATTCAACCTTAAGGAAGAGCCACTGCCACTGCAGTGTAGGCTGATTTACGTACAGTGAATAAACCACACATTTCATGGTTAAATACTAACAAATAATGGAGAAGGATAGGCCTTCCAGTATTCGTGATTGTAAAGGTGAATTCCCCGTGGGCAACCTGCTCTTCTGTTGTGTGAGCATGTTTCTAGGTTCTTGTGATACTCCAAGTGGATCCAATTCAACAGGTTCACTTACATTTATTGGCTAGCAGCTCATCAAACGCTTCTGACCACAGTTGTGCTTCCTCTGGGGAAGGCCTGCAAAAGAAGGTCTGCATCAGCTCATGCACTTCACACTTCCCCTTTCCAGCTCAGCAGCTAGCTCACTATTCACATTGCCAAGTACAAGATTTTCAACTTACTTGATGAAGGTTTGCTGTTTGCTTTTCTTGCCATTTTTGGGCTTCCCAGGAGAGGATGAATTTTGCAAGAAGTAGCTCAAACGGGTTTTCCAATCTTTTAATCTTTAAAAAAAAAAAAATCCAACATTTGAAATTGCTCCTGCAGCTGAAGGCATTTTGACCAAATAAAGTCACTCAGCGACAAACTAAGTAAGATGAAATAAGAGCTCTTCAAGTCGGTCTTATTTATTTAACATTTAAGCCTAGCACCTATGCACTGAACACAGCTACTTTCATCCATTCATTTGAATATAAATACTACTTTTATAACTAAGGGTAAAACTACCTAAAATTACTAGGGTTATTTAAATGAATTTAGTTTGCATACTTCAAATGGCAGATGCTATTTCTAGCCCACAAAAGGCAGCAGTTTTTCTGCAGCCTTAATTACAATTCTGAGACATTTCACACTTGACTGCTTGGAGCCAGTTACAAGTGCTGGTGCTCATTTTCCTTTTACCCTTGGAGCAGGAGGCTCTGGACCACGCTAGAGGCTGTGAGGTGTGTGTGTGTGAGAGAGAGACAGAGAGAGACTGAGCCCCCTACCCCAACTGCAACATTCATTTTAAGCAGATAATGCATAACAATAATGCTTCGCTCCACCGTCGTTAGTGGAGGAGACAAGCCGTTTAATAAAAAAACAAAAACAATTTTAAAACGAATATATTCAGAGCCAGCCAAAATATCTCCATCCTGTAGGCTGATCTAAACATATAATGCAAGGTACCAATGCTGGGGACGCGCTTCCGCCGGATTCTCTGAGGTTATTAAACGCAGGGAACAAAAAGCCAGCTCGCAATTTCTTAGGCGCATCTACCACTATCTCCATATCAAGAATTTTCTTCAGTTCCTAACTACGCGAGAGTCCTTCGCTCACGTAACAAAATCGGCACCTACCACACAGATTTAGCCTTAGTTAGCAAATTGATCTTTTCCATAATTTTTTTCCCTGCAGAGGCAAAGGTTACATAGCTTCCTAATGTCAAAACCGAGCCCGAATGTGTCGCGTCTGCGGCAAACCGGGAGAGCTATGTCCGCAGCGAGTGGCGGGAGAGAAAAGAAGTCCGTACTTACAGGGTCCGCTTCATTTTCCCCCTCTTCTCCTCGCTCTTGGGGCTGTTGCCTGCGCTCTTGTCCATGGATCCGCAGTCGTGCTGGACAGCCAGGAACATGGCACTTTGCATTCTCTCCCTGCGGCTGGGGACGCAGTCGTGTGCGGCCGGGCGCGCGCCGTCGCTTTTATAAGAGGTGCGGGGAGAAGGCGGGGCCTCGCGCCGCCGGTCCCGCCTCCAGCGGGCACCGATTGGCCGGTTGCAGACGGGCAAGGGGCGGGGTCGGCCCCGGCCTGCGGCAGTCACGGTCGCCCGGGAAGGGTCTCGAAGCGAGGCTTGCTGACGTCTGCGGCCCCGGCTTCGTGCGCACTCGGGCCAGACGTGGCGGCTTGCCGGGTTTGGGGTGGGATCAAAGACCTTTCGCTGCGAGCCGTCGTTGGCGACCTTCGTCGTGCGGTGGCCGCCTCCGGCGCGGCTGCGGGCCTGGGGGCGGGGTGGGGGCGGGGGCGCTCGCCCTCCCCTCCCCTCCCCCACGCTGGCGTGCTCCTGGCCGCGCTCGGGAGTCCGGATTCCCTTGGCTGCCAGGAAGAGCTGCTTGTTACGAGCCAGAGTGCAGTTGTTTTGATTTAAGATGTTTTCTTCTCTTTTTTGAGAGCGCGCGCTCCCCTCACGCCTCACTTCTTGGTTTGTAAACTGAGGCCGCGGGGAGACCTTCACCTATTCCTCTCTGCGATTCCATTTAGTTTTTTTTTCCGGGAGGAAAAGATGGAGGAACAGTGAGGATTCGGAGGCAGGTGGTGTGACCTACTCTGCAGCTTGCCAGAGCATCTTAAACACTTTTGGGAATGAACGATACAACAGGGAGGGAACAGGAGAAAGTGACTTTCTCCGACAACAGTTTTTTTACTGGGTGTGCTTTTCTGATCACCAAAAGATGAAGGTGATTGTGATTGGATCTGTTTGTGGGGTTGCAAGCTCTTACTCCGGAATCCTTGGCTGCTTCTTCCAGAACCAGAAATCACAGATCTCTTTATGATGAGATAGAGGGAAACACCAAGATCTCGCAGCTGTAATGCGCCAGAGTCGTTCTACTTCCAGAGTGCAAGGATGCAGGATTTCCTCATGAGTCATTCTTGGTTTGCTTAGAATTTACCAGAACACTTAATGACTTGCAAAGGAGGGGGGAGGTAGAGAAGAGGAGGAGACATGAATAGTTTAATAAGTTTAATTTGTTAATTCTTCAAAAATCGTCTCTACCGTAGCCGGCTTTAAATGTTCTGATTGGGAAGGACAAATAAATAGCCTCAACAAAATTATTTGATTTCAGGTCACATTAGAACTGTGCAGTGGGATATTCAAATGGTTTCCCCAATTAAGCATCCAAGTAGATAATAAGATTAACATCAATGTATTGATTAGGCTACAAACATTCTTGAAACTTTGTGTTAGAACTGGTAAAAGAAAATTGGAACTAGTTTAACTTCTGAATGGGAGTTGCCAGAAGTTGGAGCTCCAAGTTTGGCTTGTAGGATAAAATCTGCAATGATTACTGAAGAGAACAGCTGGGTGCTTTATTATGGAAAGGAAAATCATTTAGATTTTAGTAATAAATACTTTTAAGCATGTTTGTGAAATGTAAGAATGTTCTGTTTTTCACACACGTACTCTTTATCTCTAAAAGAACTTTGCATAATATTTCCATATATTTTCACTTTCTGATGATTCAATGCTTATTTGTTAAATACATCTAATAGGCGCTGGCTTTTTCCTGCCACTATAAGCCTTAATACATCATTCACTTAGAACCTTGGAGGATAGAATTCATTCATAGTGGAAGGGCCAGGAGCTCTGACAAAGAGGCAGCGAAGAGAGAGCTGGACTTGTGTCTGAAGACCTAATTAGAGTCTCAGCTTAATGAATAAGTGCTAAGTAACTGTTGGGACTGTCTCATCACACCTCCTTGAGCCCCAGTTTCTCATTTGTGTTAAGAATAATGTATCTTTCTTGCCAATCTCTTTAGATGTTATGTGACTCTTGTGCTGGGCCTTTGTTAAGTCTAAAAGTACACAAGTTTGGTGTTATCAATTTGCATATGTGTGAAAAGAAATATCTGGAAGCATAGCATTTCAATGTAGAAAAATCATTAAAGGATTAGAGTTAACTAAATTATAAATGTGTAAATACTATAAAAGTATCAAAATGATGTCCCAGAGATTTGTACAGTCTTAGGCTCATGACAGATACTTAATAAATGCTCTCTGGGTAATAAACACATAAGGAAAATAAACAGTTTTCCATTTAAAGTTTTTCAGAGATCCCTAAGCCAGGAAAGTTAGTTCATCTCAGTATATTCACAAAAGTGATTATATACATATATCTATGTAAGCAATTGCTCTAAATATAGACTAGTATAGATGTTTCTGGTATTTATTCGCTTTTTAAATAAACCATTTCAAATTGACAACTGATGTTAAGTGGCAGCAAATTATTTTTTTCCTGAAAATTATGAGGTCAGTTATGAGGTCAATTATGAAGTCAGTTGATAAATCTGAATGCATATTGATTTATCATTTCTGTATGTCTAGGTAATTTTAGGAATTAAGTCAGGCTGCAGGCTGAGAAACCTTTCAGTCAAAAAGGTGTCTTTAGAAAGGCAGCAGAGTAGATTGAAAGCAAAGGCTACAATGTTTGATGACTTCCCTTTTTTTGTTGCAAGTGGCCTTAAGGTAAATGGGATTGCTCAATATTAAGATGACACATCTTTTCCATTCTGTGGTGGAGGGAGAAACAATGCAATAGGTTGTACAGACTGCACAGCAAAACCAGTTTGTTTTGCTTGAGAATATACGGTTTCAATGTTGACTCTACCATGCCCTCTACTGGAGAGGTTCTCTGAACACATTAGTAGTAGAGGTTCTTAGTGTAGTTCTAGAATTTTTGTATTAAAAAAAATTAAGTTACAGAAGAAGGCAAACAAAAAAAAGTTTCTAGCAATACCAAAAGTAGAATATGGAAAGTAAAAGTCTCCCCTGCTATAATTCTGCCCTCTCCCCACCACTGTATGCTATTAATAATAAGAATTATTGGGGAGCCTGGGTGGCTTAGTCGGTTAAGCGTCTGACTTTCGCTTAGGTCATGATCTCGCGGTTCGTGGGTTCGAGACCCGCGTCGGGCTCTGTGCTGACTGCCAGCTCAGAGCCTGGAGCCTGTTTCAGTCTGTGACTCCCTTTCTCTCTGACCCTCCCCTGCTCACGCTGTCTCTCTCTCTCTCCTAGAAATAAAAAAAAAAAAAAACCATTAAAAAATAATAAGAATTATTAATTGTAATTAGCTAAACATTTATGCATAAAAACTTTGATACTTAGGTTTTAGAAATTTAAGAACCAAGAGAAATGGTTAAAAAACAACAAAAGAATAGTTCTGTGTATTACTCCATGCTTTGTTTTTTTTCAGTCAACAAGATATCTTAGTTATTAAATTTGTAAAAGGTGTAAACCTGTTGCTTACCTCACAAAATTGTAAGTCGGTGGTAAGTTTAAAAGAAAGGGGGAAAAAAAATCCCAAGAAGTTATATGCTATGTGGCAAAGGGTGTGATGAGTAATTGGAAAAAATGAAAAGTCTTAGCACTGTAATTGTTGAAGTATTTGAGGAAGTGTGATACCTGTCTCCACCCCTCTCTCCGTTCCTGTCTTTCCTTTCCTTCAGGAGAGCAGAGTCTCATTTAACTTTAGTTGGTGAATTACCCTTTTGACAGAATGAACGCACAACCCCACAAGATTCTGTACTTTTCTTCAACCCTAATATGCTCTGAGATTTAAAAATCATGTTTAATGATTTAATTACATTTCATAGAATGTAATTTGCATACCCAGAAGCTGATAAGAGAGAAAGTTAGTGTTTTTGTCAGGAATGAATCAGAGTTGGGCCTAATACTTGACATGTATCATAGAGGAGTCAGTGATTTCACCAGTCTTTGTATTGGTAATTATGGCTCGTGCACTCCCGTGGTTCTGCCTCAAGTTCGTCCATGGTATGGAGCATGTCATACTTCAAAAGCAGGCGGGGACTAATAAATTTGATAACCTCTTCCTTACTAAAGCAACTAGATTCTCTTTGAAAACCAGCATCAGGATGTTAGTGATTCCTCCCCCCCCAATAAAAAATTCTGAAATATATTGAAATATCGCTAATAGGTTTGCGTAGTTATTAGGCCTAGAGGTTAAAGGACCAATTGTATGAAGTCTACATTAGGGGATTATTTCTAGGGTATGCACCCTTCTGTAATGATGGACTACACAGAATCTCAAGGGAAGGAGGTGATTTATAAATACCTTCTTATAAAAATAAGTTACATAGGTAGCATATCTATAAAATGCAGAGTTAAAGCTAATAATTTATTTCCTGGCATTTCTTCTGCTTGGGATTTTAATTTCTGTGCACAAAATTTTGTCAAATCATTAGAGTGTCAAGTGTCTCTATTGACTACTTTTTTGAAATTTTGGGATATTTAGTTCATAATATACAAAATTTCAAAGGTCTATACATGATACCAGTCACTGAAAATCTCTGTGTGTGTGTGTGTGTGTGTGTGTGTGTGTGTGTGTGAGAGAGAGAGAGAGAGAGAGAGAGAGAGAGAAAGGCTGCTTTTCATCTAGTAAAGAATCTCTTTGCATTGGTATTTCCAGTTTACTGACTATCCCCATATAGAAAGTATTAGTACAGGTTAGACATTGGCTTTCAACGGTCTTTGATCCATAGACTACTTCATAAGAAACTAAACCTTGTGGGTTTTCTCCACCAAACACATTTTTGAAACAAAAATTCTCAAGTCTTAACAAAATTAATTGGAAGAATAATGCTTTCAAAGAGATACCAGTAGGCCTGACACAATTGTCATCTTTTAAATATTGAAGTCTTTAATGCTGAGCTAATGGCACTAGACTTCAAAACATTTTCAGTTTCAAAAGACACAATAATTTTGCTTTTCTTTTCATAAATTATCCTTAGGAGAGCAGGATGGTTAGAGGGTTTGTCCATAACTAGGATGCTTACATTTAGTTGCCAGGTCCTGGCACTATTTTAGTGATGACCTCAGGCAAATTGCTCACCCTTCTTGTGCCTAGGCTTCATGTCTATCTGGTGGAAGTAATTATAGCAACCCTCTTTTCTAA